AAGTGATGAGAAATATCAGAATTGATGAGCTGTGTCCAAATCAGGGTAATGCTTTGGCCAGCTTGTGTTGCTCCTTGTGTTTAAATTTTGGGAATTGTCTTATTTTGCTTTATTTTATAGGTTTATCAACATGACTTTAATGAAAATACTGAGGGAATTTTTCAGAGGGAACTGAGAGGAGTTTTAAGTGGAAATAAGTCATTAATAACTCTTTTTAATATATATATCAGTGCAATATTCTGCTATGCATAATATTGCACTGATATATATATTAAATATATATATTTATATATATTTAATGTTCTCAGTTGATGGAATAACCCTGACACCAAATAATTGTTCAAAGACTCAGGGATGTGTTTTTTAGGCACTTACACAGTTCAAATTCTAAATTGGGGAAAAAAAAATGGATTTTAGATGGGTTGGGCGTGGTAAGGTGACTCTGGGCTGAGTCAGTTTGCCCCAGAACAGCTGTTCCCCATGAAGATGGTAATTTTATAAACTTTTATTACAGTTTCTTATGTATTTTTATTATTTAATTTCTATTCTATTTATATTTAATATTTCTTTATGGGGTTAGCTTTGAAGCTGTTCCCGGCCCGAGCCTCGCAGCGATGTCGTGGCTCGATAAAAGCAAAACAAGCAAGGTTTTAATACCAATAATTTAATTTATGGTGACAAATGCTGCCACGTTTGACTGGAAAACAAATTGTGAGTGTAACCCTGGATCTCAGAGCAGCGACAGTGATGGAAACACTTCTGAAATCCAAGCCTTTCCATGGGATTCCCTTTGGCCTTTCCCCTGGCTCGTCCCATTTCCAACAAAAGCGTGGGTTAATTTGAATTTCAGTGCTTTTTATCCTGAGGGAAATATCAAATAATTGGTGTTACTGCCCCAGGGGAGGGGCACAGGTGCTGTATTTGGGTTTTTCCCCTCACACACACACCCCCCCTGCTCATTAATTTGTGGTTTCACGCTTTCCAGCGGGAAGAGGCCGCCAGGAAAAAAAGCAGCTGGGATTGATCATTTCGGGGGCAGGAGGGGAAAATATTCAGGAATTATTTCGATAAGCATTTCAATGAGGGGTGTGCCCACAGAGCAGCTTTTCCCCGGAGGAAGGTGGAAATTGTTGGTGTTTTTAACCTCCTCTCTGTTCCGTGAGGGAAGCGACGCCTCCCAGCCAGAGGGGAGAGATGAGAATCTGCATCCAGAATTCTTACAAGGCTGATTTATTACATTATGATATTATATTAAAATGCTTGACTAAAAGAAATAGAGAAATTATACAGAAATCTAGAAAGGAATGAATAATAACTCGTGACTGCTCAGAGAGTCCGACACAGCTGGGACCGTGACTGGGCACCCAGTAAAAACAACTCACACGGACCAGTCCAAGATGTATCTGTTGGTAAAACATCTCCAGACCACATTCCACAGCCATCACACAGTTAATTGTTTGCATTTCCTTAATGAGGCTTCTCAGCTCCTCACGAGAAAATCCTAGCAGAGGAATTTTGTAAAATATCACAGTCACGCCAGAGGATTCTTGGATTTATTGAGGGAAAAACTTCTCTGCTGGATGCTGTGCAGCAGCCCAGCAGATGGGAGGGAAGGAGTGGGCTGCAGAAATCCCTTTATTTCATTTGTGATTTTTGTACCTGACAGAACCTGCTGGCTGAGGCCTCCCGGGATGTGTCCGAGCAGCCCAAACCCTGCATCTCCTTGTGTGTTTTCCTCAGAGCTGGATGGCTCTGAGAGCCCAGATCCGCAGGGAAATCCTTCCCTGGGATGGAATTCCCAGAGAATTCGTGGCTGCCCCATCCCTGGAAGTGTCCAAGGCCGGGTTGGAGCAGCCTGGGATGGTGGCAGAGGTCAGGGTTGGAACTGAATGAGCTTTCGGGTCCTTTTCAACCCAAACCGTTCTGAAAATCCATGAAATTTCCAAGTTCTCGTGTTCCTGGAGTGCACAAACCCCTTTTACATCCCTGGGAATGTGATCAGCTCTGGAGGGAAACAGAAAATCAGCAGTGGAATTCTGTTCCCTCTGGGAAAAGTTCTGATCTCTGAGGCCCCGGGCCTTGAGCTCCCTGACACTCACTGAAAAGCAGCTCCTGGTGTTCAGAACAAGCAGGTTTTTATCTAAAAAAATATGAAATTATCCCATTTTTTAATGCCCAGAGGAGATCTCTCTCTGGATTTGAACTTTCCAGTGTGAAGGGGGAATTTTGAAATCCTTTGGTACGGGATTTTTGGGGGAACATTGAGCTTCAGAGACATCAGGAAGGGTCTGGCCAAGTGGGAAACGAGAAATGACAGAAGAAAATTCCTTACAAGTTATTCTTTCAGCTGGACTTAGATGTTTATTGGTTCTTATTTATATTATAGTCTCACAAACTGTGAATTTACAGATTTTAATAAATTAAAAATGGAGTTGCGTTTCTCTCTTTATAAGGTTTTGTAAGGAGAAATTGCTTGAGTAAGAAATGATACTTAAATTATTTTTAATTTAATAACTGCTTGTGGTTCACAATGCGGACTTTTATTTAATTGCACAATATTATTTAAACTTAGGAAAAAGAAGGACAAGCTTTTGTTTTAAAACTTTTATCTTGTTTTATATCTATTACTGTATTTTAAAGCTTTTAAGTTTTCTACCATGTGGTATTATACACTTTTATGTAAATTACACACTCATAATTTTAGTTTTATTATTCCATTTTGGAAGCCTTTTCTACGGCTTTAGGTGAAAATAAGTTTTAAATTCTCCTGAACTTCCTTTCAATTCCTTTTCCTCCTTGCACTAGTACAGCTTTTGGGGAGGTTTCTTAAATAAACCAATATTTAATGATGAATAAACCAAATTTATTCAGGTATAATTATAAACAGAGTCAGGCAGTGCTCAAAAGAAGCTCTTTTAAACCCAAAGGTATTTCCTGATAACCTGAATTTTCAAAAGCACAGATGGAAAGTGGCTCAGGTCACTTTGTTCCACCAACTCAGCCACCTCCAGAGTGCCTCAGTTATTGATTATTGCCTGCATCACCTCCTCTCTCCCAGAGGATAAACTGAAACCTGGGATCCTGTCCAATTTTCACTTTTTCTGATGCCTGTTCCAGGTTACATTTGCTGTCAGGGAGAATTTGATATAAATTCCATAAAACCCAGAGCAGATGATGATCGCAGGTATTTTGCATTTTGGCTGAGACAGCGGGTGGAGTTTGAATATTCCAGGTGAATTGTGGTTTTCACTCTTCCTAAATATCTGGGCAGTAAAAAACTCCAAGTTTTGGTGATGAACACGAGTGAGTTTTTGCCTAATTTTGCTGGTTTTAAAACTGGTCTCTGTCCCAACGCCTTTGGGCTCAAACACCTGGTTTTTAGCCCAATAAACCTGCAAGAGTAATTTCAAATTTAATTTTTCCGGTGTTAATTATTATAAATGTTGTTAATTATTATAAATACCTCGTGTCTGCAGGTTAATATTGTTTCAAACAGGTGCAGTCACTTAGTATTAATGTGAGTTTAATGGGTGCTACTCCCTGAATTGGCTGCTCTGAGGCTTAATTTGGAGAAAAGTGTCTAATGATGTTTAATAACTCGCTTTGCCAAAGAGCAGGACGTGCTTCCTTTCACCTGAAAGATTTGTTGAATGTATTTATTTTAATTTTTTTTGCTTGGATTTATCTGTAGCACTCAGCACCAGCACGTTGAGCCAGGAGGTTTTGCTGTTGAGTGATTTATTGTAATATCTTGGTGGAATTAATACAGAGAGCAGCTGAGAGCTTTAGCACCAGAACTGGTGGTTTGTTCTTGATGAAAAATTCAAAATTAAATTCCCTTCAGGCCAGAAGTTTTGCTTGGGGAGACTTCACCCCGTGGACAGACATTAAATGTAAATATAAATAATTAAATCTAAAAATGAATGAATGTCACCTTCATTAAGAAATGATGAATTTCCCCATTTATTCCACTCAGTGCCAAACCAGCTCGTGATGCAATAATAATAATAAAGTGGATTTTTGAGAGCTGGGTAGTTTTTTTATTGGGTGATGGTTAATATTGTTGGTTCCTGGGTGGAATCTCACGATTTGGCCACAAAACCACCTCAGAGCTGTTCCTGAAATGCTGTAGGAGCTCCAGTGGTGCCCAGGACCCTTCAGCACCCCTGGTGTTCCTGGGGCAGAGGTGGATGGAAAACTCCTCAGGAATTATGACATTTCTGCACTCCTGTCTCCCATGCCCAGTGCTGACAGGACTGAAAATGTGCAATAATGCAGAATATCACAGCTGGGTGTGCTGGGTTAAAGCAGTGCAAGCTCTGCCGTGCCCTCAGCATTAACTGCAGTGCCTCGGGGTGGGAGCTGATTTCTGCCTGACACAGGGCACGACTGGACTCTGAATTTCCACTTTGGGGGAAAAAATGGCTCTGGGTGTTGTTCTGGGAGGCTGCAGCTGTGTTCCCACGTAGGATCAGAGGGCAGCTCTGACTGTCCCAGACTGCTGACACTCAGTCAGTTCCTGTGTGAAGCCATCCTGCTCTCCCAAGGATGCAATTCCCTCGTGGTATTTCTTTCCCACTGCTTGGATAAAACCCTTTAAAATGGTTTTTTTTTCCCCACATTTCAGTGTTCAGCCATTCTTTTTCTCACACCTTTGAGTCCCTCTGGGCCGCAGCAACTTCCTGCACGGGGAGCTGGTTGTTCCCTGTGAATTCCCAGAGATTTCCAGCCTTGCCCTCACCAGTCCCTGTCTCAAACAGCTTCTGGGATGTTTCCTTGGGCTGCTCAGTCACTTCCTCAGGTGTGGTGGTTTTTCCAGCATTGTCACCATCCGTCCCAAAGCCACTGCTGCAGTGGGAAGATTTCCTGGGCATCTCCCCCCAATTAAACAGCCACAATTAAACCTTCCTGCCATGCCAGACCTTGAGCCAGCTGTGGGTCTTTCTTATCCTGAGTTTTTATTCCTGTTGGGATCAGGATAATTCTGCTGTTTGTCCTCCATGTTGTCCTCAGCCCTCGTCTCTGAGGAAATAAAGATCCTCAAGGTGGTACGAAAATTCAAGGGGTTTGGAAATCTCCCTCAGCTGTGGCAAAAAGCAGGAAACCTGTTGTTAAAAGCTGAATCTTTCAGTGGCCAGGGGGTGTTTGGGATCATGGAATCACAGAGTGCTTTGGGAAGGGACCAAAACTCATCCAGTTCCAACCCCGACACCTCCCACCATCCCAGGCTGCTCCAAGCCCTGTCCAGCCTGGCCTTGGACACTGCCAGGGGTCCAGGGACAGCCACAGCGTCCCTGGGAATTCCAGCTCAGCCCCTCCCCACCCTCCCAGCCAAGAATTCCTTCCCAAATCCCATCCATCCCTGCCCTCTGGCAGTGGCAGCCATTCCCTGTGTCCTGTCCCTCCATCCCTTGTCCCCAGTCCCTCTCCAGCTCTCCTGGAGCCCCTTTAGGCCCTGGAAGGGGCTCTGAGCTCTCCATGGATCCTTCTTTTCTCCAGATGAACACCCCCAGCTCTCCCACCTTTATCCCAGTTCTCCCAGTTGATGGAATTGTTGGAATTCCCAGTCACCACACAGATGCTCACAGAGGACTTCTCCCCACCACGAGTTTGTTCCTTCCCTCCACAGCTTGTGGCCTCTTCCAGGCCTGCCCTGGAAGTTCTCTCTCCCTGAAGGTTCAGGTTTTGAGCCAGGTTATCAATTCCAGAAAGCCCCTGGCTGTTTGTTCTGCTGATACCCTACGGACCTTCCTGGAAGGAAAATCTTTGCCTTCTTCTCCAAACAAACCCTGTGGGTATGAAAAGATGGAAAAATAGATCTTGTGAGGGTTTTCAGGCTCAGCTGATCTCCCTGAAGAGAGAAAGTTTGGCTGGGTTGGTAAGAACCAGGCACTTGTACCTGGCCAGAGCCTTGAATTCCCGAGGGAGGGAGACAGTGCTGACCATCCATGAAGCTTCCACTGGCATTTTTCCCAAGAGCAGCCCCAGCACCTGGTCCTACATAGGCTGATCCCATCAAAGGAACGACTCTTTCTGATTTGCAGACTAGAAAATATTTCAGGATTATTCAGGGCACGGACAAAAGAGCAGAAACACAAATAAAGGCCAGGACCTCACAGCAGCTGAGCCTTTTGTCCGAGGGCCGTGCAGAGCTCCGGTCGTGCTCCGTGGAGCCAGGGAACAAAGGAACCCTGCCCGTGTTTGCTCTGGCTCAGGGCAGGGAGGGATGAATTCCTGTGTTCATAACCAGTGCTGGGCCAGGATGGGTGGTGGAACCTTCCTTCTCTCTCTCTTTCTCTCCCCAGGTCACGCAGATGAGCCGTCCAGATCTGATTCTGTTCCTCATGAAGTATCTGATGGCCTTGGTGGTTGGGATCCCCTCGGTGTTCTGGGTTGGAAGCAAGAAGACCTGTTTTGAGTGGGCCAGCTTCTTCCACGGGCGCAGGAAAAAGGAGTGAGCACGGATATTTTACAGCTAAACCTTTCCCTTGCTGCCCTGGGAGAGAGTTTGGGTTGGGTTTTCATGGAGGCAAAGGCAGGAATGGATGGAAAAGTCACTATCTCAAAAAATTCCGTATTTCTCCCTAAATATTCTTTATTCCCAGAATCAAATCTACATTTGTCCATCTTCAAAGTGTTTTTAACAAGAATTACGTGTCAAATAAACACTTCAACTACTCTGCCTCTTACTGAGGGGTGGAATGGAAACTTTTTATTTATGAATGTGCATCTAGCCAGCTGAATCAGAGCTTTAAATTGGAATGAAATGCAGGTTCCTCTCACCGTGGTTGCAGTTGAAAGCATTTATCTCTGCTTTTAATCTTCCTTATTCATTGGTGCTGAAGAGCAGCTTGATAAAGTGACAAGGAGAATTTCTTGGAGCTTCTGTAAGGTCGACATTAATTAAGATTAAGGTTGGCATTGGTTTAGAGACAATCTGTGTGATCTTGTGGTAGCCGTGGGTAGGTGCTTTCCTAATAAATGTTGTCCTTCAGGATGTTTTAAAACAGATCCACAACGACAGAAAGCTTTTGGTGACTCCTCTGTGAATTTTGGCCCATCCTTCAAGGATTCAGCTGTGCTAAAACAACCAGACAGGGAGCTAAAACAACCAGGCAGGGAGGTGCTTCAAAATCAGGCAAACAGGGACATTGTGATGGAAATGATGCTGTTGTTTGCCAAACCCTGCTACTTGTTGTGCTTTGTGATCACTTTCACGCCGCACTAATTAACGCTAATTGCTCCGGCTTGTCCCGCTCAGAGTCGTCAACGAGAGCCGCCAAGTGCTGCAGGAGCCGGACTTCGCCCAGTCGCTGCTGAGGGACCCCAACACGCCCATCATCCGAAAATCCAGGGGCACCTCCACGCAGGGCACCTCCACGCACGCCTCGTCCACGCAGCTGGCCGTGATGGACGAGCAGAGGAGCAAGGCGGGCAGCGTGCACAGCAAAGTCAGCAGCTACCACGGCAGCCTGCACCGCTCGCGGGACGGACGGTACGGCGCGGCGAGCGTTGGGGTGATGGCTGTCGGAGCCCCCCCTGAGATGGGAAACCCCCTCCCTAGAAATTGTTAGGATTTTGAAATTAAGGGGCTCTCGGGTAAAGATTGGGGAGCAGGAGTAACAGTTCTTTATTAGGGAGGAAAATTAAAAAAAAAAAAAACAACAACCAAAGAATGCAGAAATACAAAACAACACTGACAGAGTCAGAGCAGGAGCTGATGGCCTGTGGGTCAGGGTGGTGGCACAGTCCCATCCCATGGTGGCTGCAGCCCTCCTGTGTCCTTGTGTTCGAGGGTCCCCAGGACGAGATGAGAATCCTGACTCCATGTTTCAGAAAGCTGATTTATTTTATGATATTATATTAAAATGCTAGACTAAAAGAAATAGAGAAATTATACAGACAGAAAGCTAGAAAGGAATGAATAATAAAAACTCGTGACTGCTCAGAGTCCGACACAGCTTGGACCATGACTGGGCATCAAGTAAAAACAACTCACATGGACCAATCCAAGATGCACCTGTTGGTAAAACATCTCCAGACCACATTCCACAGCCACCAGAGAGTTATTGGTTTTCTTTTCCTCTGAGGCTCCTCAGGAGAAAAAATCCTAGCAAAGGATTTTTCATTAAAATATCTCAGTGACAGGTTGGAGCAGGGATCCTGTAGAAGGGTGGAGTTTCCCTGGGAAGGTCCAGTGGTGGTGCAAATGGCCTGGTCTTCCTCTGGGAATCCAGTGGAAAAGGCTGCTCCTCTGGGAATTCAGTGGGAAAAGAAAGCTGCTCCCCTGGGAATGCCATGGAAAAGAAAGCTGCTCCCCTGGGAATCCAGTGGAAAAGGCTGCTCCTCTGGGAATTCAGTGGGAAAATGTTCCCTGTGGTGTTCCAAACCTCGGATTATATCCAGGCAGTAATTCTTGGCTCCTCCCCCTGGGTGGAGCATCTCCCAGTGGGATAATGGAATTTTATCAGCCATGCAGTGACACTCGTTGGCCCATGTAGAAGGGTGGAGTTTCCCTGGGAAGGTCCAGTGGTGGTGCAAATGGCCTGGTCTTCCTCTGGGAATCCAGTGGAAAAGGCTGCTCCTCTGGGAATTCAGTGGGAAAAGAAAGCTGCTCCCCTAGGAGTGCCATGGAAAAGAAAGCTGCCCCCCTGGGAATCCAGTGGGAAAAGGCTGCTCCTCTGGGAATTCAGTGGGAAAATGTTCTCTGTGGTGTTCCAAACCTCGGATTATATCCAGGCAGTAATTCTTGGCTCCTCCCCCTGGGTGGAGCATCTCCCAGTGGGATAATGGAATTTTATCAGCCATGCAGTGACACTCGTTGGCCCATTAACAGAATATAATTAATAATTAATGGCCCATCAGCAGAAGAGATCTGGAGGGAGGATTGGTTGTGGAAGAGATAAACTGCCCAATTAACAGAAGATAGTTGCCCCATCTCTAACAGATGGTAAATAGAATAGACACTTGCAATCCAGAACAGGGCATGCTCCAAAAATTCGGGGCATTCCGGATGGTTTGGGTGGGAAGGGAGCTTAATGATCATCTCATTCCACCTCCCGGGGACCTTCCACTGTCCAGGCTTGCTCCCCTGGGAATGCCATGGAAAAGAAAGCTGCTCCCCTGGGAATCCAGTGGAAAAGGCTGCTCCTCTGGGAATTCAGTGGGAAAATGTTCCCTGTGGTGTTCCAAACCTCGGATTATATCCAGGCAGTAATTCTTGGCTCCTCCCCCTGGGTGGAGCATCTCCCAGTGGGATAATGGCATTTTATCAGCCATGCAGTGACACTCGTTGGCCCATTAACAGAAGATAATTAATAATTAATGGCCCATCAACAGAAGAGATCTGGAGGGAGGATTGGTTGTGGAAGAGATAAAGAAAAACTGCCCAATTAACAGAAGATAATTGCCCCATCTCTAACAGATGGTAAATAGAATAGACACTTGCCTTGCAATCCAGGACAGGGCATGCTCCAAAAATTTGGGGCATTCCGGATGGTTTGGGTGGGAAGGGAGCTTAATGATCATCTCATTCCACCTCCCGGGGACCTTCCACTGTCCAGGCTGCTCCCAGCCCTGGCCAGCCTGTCCTCAGACAATTCCAGATGTGGGGAGTCCACAGCCCTCTGGGCAAATCTTGTGCAGAAGATCGGACAGGCCCCTTCCAGCCAGACACGTGGCCATAATTCTGCCAAAATCGGATGTTCTGGTGCATCTCCTCTCCCTGTTAGTGTCTGGACTGGAAAGAGAAAATGCCATGATATTTTTAGAGTGTGTGCTGCTCTTGTTGCATTAATTACGCAGCAGGGCTGTGTGCAGCGCTGGTTTTCCTGCACGGGAGCGATCTGTGTTGCAGCGTGTGGTCAAACAGAGCTGCCCCGGGGGCAGCTCAGCACCCTCCTGGCTGCTTTTGTCCGTGTGTCAGTGGATTTTGTGTCTGCCAACACTCCCGGCCCTGCCGAAGTAAACAAGGGTTCTGAGTTGAGGTGGAGCTCAGGTTTCCAGGGTAATTAATCACCGAGCGTTTCACTCCCCTAATTACCAAGACAGCCAGCTCTGGAGTGAGCACCGAGCAGAGCATTGTGCAGGAGCTGAAAGGCTTTGCCCGGGGCTGTGGGAGCCCGAGCCCAGCAGGGAACGCCTCTCCCCGCTGCAGCTCTCTCTCCGTTCCTTCTCCAGCGCTGATCATCGCCCTGTGTTTCCCTAAATCAGGTACACTCCCTGCAGCTACAGGGGCGTGGAGGAACGACTACCTCACGGCAGCATGTCGCGACTGACCGACCACTCGAGGCACAGCAGCTGCCATCGGCTCAACGAGCAGTCACGGCACAGCAGCGTCAGGGACCTCAGCAGCAACCCAATGACACACATCACGCACGGCACCAGCATGAACCGCGTCATCGAGGAGGATGGCACCAGCGCCTGACGGGCACGCAGGGCTCCTCGGGGTGCTGGCAGGGCTGGCGGAGCCTTCCTCACCGAGGTGACACGCTCGGAGTCATCCTCGGCCTCTCGGCAGGTGCTGGATCGGGGCGTTGGCTTCTCCGCGTGCGAGCCGACCCCGTGGGACTTGCCTGGTTGTGTGCTCTGAACCTCTCTGTAGGTAATTATTTATTTGATGACTGTTCCTCGTCGGACGCGACTGCTGAATTTCTTATTCTCTGTGGAAAGCAATCTCCCCCTTCCTTCTCTGTCCCTCCCTGCGTCCCTCCTTCCGTGGGCTCCTCGTGTCGGGAGGCGCCGGCCCCGAAATCTCGGTGTCGGGGTCGTGCTGGGAGTTGTTCTGAGGAGACTTGAGGGAACTCTTGATGGTTGAAGGAATCCCTCCGTGCGCCTCGCTCCAGGGGACACGCCCAGCGCTGCCTGAGGGACGTCCCTGCCAGCTGGCAGCGTTTGGGGACACTGGAAACGCCACAGGAACGGGCGCTGTGGAGAAGGAAGCTCCTCTGAGGATCAGCGGCTCTTCCCAGAGCTGTCCAGGCTCAGTCATCCACAGGGTGGGGGGAAGAGAAAGGCAGGGAAGAGCAATTTTTTTATAACTTGTATTGTCCTTGCTTTTTTTACAAAAGACTATTTAAATTTTCTACTCGTTTACAATTTCTGTAGGAAGAGATGGGTTTTAAAAGCAGTTATCTAGATCATGTTCAGCCATTTATTTTTTAGAGTCATGTACAAAAGCTGAGATTGCCTGTTCCTGATCTATTTAAAAAAAAAAAAGATTATCATAGGAAAGCTGAATTTGTCCCCCAAGCAGGAATGCAGAGCCCGTCCTTGCAGCCAGAGCTGAGCCTGTTTACAAACCCGGCGCTGGGTGAGGGAGGCTGAGGCCAGCAGCACCAGAGGAGTTTATTCAAGGCTGCCCCACCTTCCTTGTGATGTCAGGGCTGGTCTGGGGGGGATTCTCTGTGCTCAGCAAGAACTCAGAGATGGGTGGGAGGGGAAACTGAGGCAGGAGCTGCTCCCAGATGGGGGAAAAGGAGGATGTGGCAGCTGGGAGCCCAGGGCGTTCCTTGAGGAGGAGACAGGATCCCCAGTTCAGGGATCTTGGTTATGGATCTGCCTCTGCCGTGGTTGTTTTAATCCCCTTGTGCAGATTCATGGCAGGGAATTCTCAGTTTGGGCATTTTTTTTTGTGTGGAAAGGATCCCTTGGGATACACTGGAGGCAGAAGTCAAGGATGGTGCTGGAAATCTTCTGGAGCATCTTCTGTGGAGATTCATCCAGCACCAGGAAACACTGCTGGTGTACAAAGCTACCTCAGTAATCACTGCAGATCACTGCTGGGAAACAAATCCTTATTTTTTGCATTGTCCTTCCATAATTCCCTCCCTGACCTGCTGGAATGTTGAGAAGCCTTTGTGCACCAACCTCGAGGGCAGGGCCGGGGCAGGAGCTGCTCCACAATTAACTCATTTTAATTGCAGCTCATAACCTGTGTGCTGTGGAATCAAAGGCTGCCCCGGGAGTTCTCCCAGATTTATCCCAGATTGTTTCTCTTGCTTCCACCGGGTCGGGAGGAGAAGACAAATGGAGCCCAGCGTGGAATAACAAAGCTCTTTGGGAGGGAGGTGCTGCACCCAGGGCCCCGGGGCAGAGCAGGCTCTGCTTTGCCTGTTTGCTCAGCAAACAGCCCTGGGGCCATCCCAGGGATAGCCCTGGCTCAGGATAACCCTGGCCCAAGGATAGCCCCAGCCCAGGGATAGCCCCGGCCCAGGGATAACTGTCCACATCCAAAGCTGTGGGAAAATCCTTTGGAGTGACTTAAACTGGAGAAGCTGCAACTCCCTGGAAGCCCCAAGGGTGGAACCTTTGCTGTTTTCAAATTCAGCTCCTCCTGACTCGCTGCCTCGAAGGGGTGATCTGGTGGAAATCTGGATAAGCTGAGTTTTCCTAAACACTGGAACTGAACTAAACAAGCTCAAGGGTTTACGTTGATCCTCTTGGCTCAATTTCCAGTATTTTTTTTTAATAAATTGTAGCAATGCTTTGACTTGTTTAGAGACAGGAACACTGTTGGAGCTTGGAGAAGGATCCTGCTGGAAATGTTGTTAATTTGTGAAGCTCAGTCCCAGTACTGCTTCCAGATGGGAATATCTAAGTTGTTCCTTGCTGATCCTAAAGGGACAGGCTCCTGTCACCCCAGAGAGGTGATTAAACTCAAACTGAAGTTCTGGCTGGGATTTTTGCCTCCCTGCCCCCTCCCTTCTACCTTCCACACGTGAGCCAGCACAGCACGCTGGGCTCTCCTGGCAGAACATTCCTCCTGGGAAGAGAGGAATTCCTCCCTCGGCCATGGAAGAATGTGCCAGCTCTGCTGCAGCTCCCCAGCTGGGGCTCCCAGGGCTGCAGCTCCCAAATCACTCTGAAGTGCACCCCAGTTTGAATGTGGCCCCACCAGCATCCCAGGCAGGGGCACCAGGAGTGTTTTTGGGGTGCTTTGCTACACCTGGTGAGAGCTCCAGCCCGGGTGCCTGGTCTGTGGGATTGGTGCCAAGCTTTAAATTCCCCCCGAGCTGAAAGCCCCGGCCAGGAGGGCGTTCCTGCAGTCCCCAGGTGCTCTGGGCTCCCTGCATGTCCCTGCAGCCACCAAAGCTGGATCCTCTCTCCAGGAAGCAGGCAGGGAAGCTGGACAGTGCCTGGCTTCTCCAGCTCACCCCAAACTTCCTCCCTGTCCCTCCCACGCACGCGATGGCTGCACCCCAAAATTCTGCTCCGTGGAATTGCTCTGTCAAAGCTTCCTGCAAAGAGCACAGCTCCTCATTCCCAGCGTTCCCAGGGATCTCCTGCTTTACCAACCCAACTGCACTGACAACAGATCCCCGAGTTTGTGGTGTTCTTTCTTAACCCCTTCAGCTCCAGGGAAATATCCCAGACTGGAGCTGCGGTCCCGTTGCATGGAAGAGGCTGCTGCTCGTTTTTAAAGCATAAACGACCCAGCAGCAGCAAACAGCCACGTTTGGGCGTCAGTGTGTTTGTGTTCTCCCTTTTCTTCCAGCTCACAGCCAGATTTTGTGCTGGAAGCTTCAAGTTCTAGGAGGGTCTGGTGAGCACGGGGTGGCACTGAGAGGCTGAAACCCTGTCACGGCCAAATCCAGCACTGCTCCCGAGTTATTCCAGCAAGAAGGGAAAATCCCTCAGGAAGGGCACAAGGATGAGAGCCAGGCCAGCCTAGAGCAGTGCCCACCCTCCCAGGGGAGCCATTCTCCAGCCCAGCTCCAGGCACTGAGGATCCCCGAAAACAGCAGGGAGCTCCGACGCGTGGTGAAACCAGGGCAGGGAGCAGAGCACAGGAGCCATCCCCAGCTCCTCCTGGAGCAGCAGAGTGTCCAGCTGAATGTGAAGCTTTACCCCTATCCCCTTGTGCTTCTTTCCTAACGGGATCAGGATTGATTTTCCCCCGAGGCGCGGCGTTTTCCCGGTTTTTGCTGCGTGCATGGGGAACTCGGTGCATGTAACGCCTCCGGCAGCCCTTCCCTCGGCGCTGTCCTGTCCGTGTTGTGACGACGCCTCAGGAGAGGGGAAGGAGCTCCCAGGAGACCTCTACGTGTGGAATGTGTGGGGCAGTCCCTGCCTGTGGCTGACCCCACTTGCACTCGGCTCTTGGTAGACTTGTTTACAGTAGTCCAGTGTCGGTTTTGTAACGTTTAATTTTTAGCACTTTAACTGTGAGCACCTCCGGCAGCCCTTCCCTCGGCACTCCGCTGTCCTGTCCGTGTTGTGACGACGCCTCAGGAGAGGGGAAGGAGCTCCCAGGAGACCTCTACGTGTGGAATGTGTGGGGCAGTCCCTGCCTGTGGCTGACCCCACTTGCACTCGGCTCTTGGTAGACTTGTTTACAGTAGTCCAGTGTCGGTTTTGTAACGTTTAATTTTTAGCACTTTAACTGTGAGTGTACAAACTGGTTCCCTTGTAGTTGGTGTACATTTTCATTTTAGACCTTTGGAAGTTTTTAATAAAACGATGGAAAAACTCTGGCAACAGATTTTCAATTCTTCTCCTGTGGGTGTAATCCTACCCCCCTTAAAAAAATCCCAGTTCAGCAGCAGTTGAGATATAAAGGTTAAAGAATTAAATATCAGATTTTACTCTGGCCAGCAGCTCTGTGAATTTGAAGAAAGACTTTCTAGACTTAATCTCCCCGCAGTATCTGCACTCGTGGACGCCGGGCACCCTTCCAGCAAACACAAAGCTCTGGCAGATTTCGGGCTCTGGGTTGCTCCGCCCTTTCACAAGAACAGACCGCTCCAACCGCCAGCGTTTCACAGGCAGAGAGGAGCAAACAGGTTTGGGAGCAGCAATGCCAGGGATGTTTGGGGGGTTTTATTGCCAAATCCAAGCTGAGGACGGGATGACTGATTTATCTGAAGGAGCTGTCTGGCACTTGGGTGGATACGTGGTTGTTTGGGTTGGAAGCCTTATGCTGAGTCTTGCGTGGCTGGTGATAAAATAACTCCTCTCACTAATTACTGCTGCTGCTTTAGGTCTCGTTAGAGAAATAGTTCAGGGATGAAACTTTAGGAGCTGCTGCTCTGCTCCATCTGCCCTGAACTTAAACTGTGGTGGGTTGTGAGTGACCAGCTCTGCAGTCAAGCAGCCAAAGTGGGATCTCTTGCAGGACTCCCACTGCAGCCAAACCCAGCAGGGATGAGGAACGGGAGCTCTCGGCGTTTGTCTCCCACCCGTGCTGCATTGCCGGGTCCCAGAGGGGATAATGCAGGCTCGGGAGGACATGGAGTCACCTGGAGCTCCTCTGGCCCTCCCAAGGTGGTTTAAGGAGCTGCAGGTGAGGGAGGCGGGGGGAGCATGGAAAAAGAGGAGCTGGAGGAGGGGTGTGGTGGGGGCAGAGGCCGAGGTCAGTTCAGACCCCCGGGCTGGGATGTTTTAGTCACGATCACATTCCTGATGTACTTTAACACCCCGTTGCAG